GTGTTTGAGTTTTTTTGGTTTTCTATTTTTTTTTAATTTTGGTTACTTATGGTTTTTGTAACTTTTTTTTATTTTGATTCAAGTAAATAAAAAATTTATATTTATATTTGTAATTTTGGTCCACTTTTTTTTCTTTATATTGTTTTTTTCTACAGTTTTTATAATATATATATATATATATATATATATATATATATATATATATATATATGTGTGTGTGTGTGTGTGTGTGTGTTACGACAAGTTAAAATTTAAAATAAATAAATAAATAAATAAATAAATAACTCAAACGGTTTGTCTATTGAGAATTAATGTTTCAATGATATTTGTGATTTATTATTAAAATAGGAAAACTAGGTAATATTTTAAAAATGTAACTTTCAAATTAAATCATATTTCTATATAAGATATCAATAGTTTAAATTCCAAATAATATTTTTCAGGTTGATAATAGACTGGAATAAAGAATAAATAAATAATAAGAGTCGGACTCAACAAAATAATTGTTACAATATTTTAAATTGAAGTTTTCTTTTTCATGTACTTGAATCAAAATAAATACACATATTAGAAAAACTATTGATACCTAAAATATATATATATATATATATATATATATATATATATATATATATATATATATATATATATATAGAGAGAGAGAGAGAGAGGTCCAATTGAGAAAAAAAAATGTTGAGAATTGAGCAATCATTCTCAGTAAATCAATTTATTTTTGCCGCAAAAGCCTATGGGAAAGGAATGCACATGTGTTTTCCAACAAAAAATGTTTCCTTAAACTATGCTAAGCATTACCTTAATATATACAAAAACATAGTTTTTTCGTTTTTTTAATTTTTAAGAAGCTATTTTTATCGAAAAATGATTTTAAATATACCAAAATTCATTATTTTTTATTCTCTGCAAATAAACATTTATATTTATATAGTTTTAAGAAAATAAAAAATTTATTTTTTATATATTTTCAGCTATCGTTATTCGTAAGTGAATAAAAATTAATCAGATTTTTACTACATTACATTCGTTATTCACTTATGAATAAAAGCTATGATTAAGTTTTTTTTTACAATTTAAGTATCATTCATATATAAATATAACATATACTAAACATAGTATATTCATATTTAAATATTAGACGATGCATTTACTTGTGAATATTACATAGTATATTCACTTGTAAATGTTAGATGGTATATTCACTTATGGATATTAGATGATATTTTTATATGTGAATATTATATAGTATTACATGGTATATCACATGAGAATAGTACATAGTATATTCATTTGTAAATATTAGATCGTATATTCACTTGTGAATAATAGTTGGTATATTGATATGTCAATATTGCACAGTATATTCATATATGAATAATACAAGGTGTTTTCATAAATATATATAATTTTTATATGTTATTCACATATGAATAACATACAGATTTGCATATTTGTTTTGTGTTTTAATAATCACATATTGATTCAGGTGAGAAAACATATTCATGTGTGAATATAAGGTGGTAATTTAGTTTATGCATTTCATCAAACAGTTGGAGTGCATACAAGTTAACTTTTTTAAAAATGTGATAAATATGATACTTTGACTATTTAAATCTTACAAAATAGTAGATTGGTAGAGAAATATATGAAAATTTTCAAACAAAAAATGATTTGATCTTTTTCTAACCTTAATTTCGATGTTTTATTTGATGAACGATGTTGAATAAATGATACGAATTGAATTTTTTGTTAATTATCGATGATGTTGTTCTAATGATGCTGAAGTATAATTAATCGTAGATGTTGAAGATATGTTCGTATTCAAGCAGAATTGAAGGTTGGATTGAAAGAGTAAAAAAAACGAATGAATTTCAATTGTTATCTAATTCTCTACACTTACGTATTTGTGATTGAAGGCTATTATATCATATTTACAAATTTGTCACCGTGTCCTTTATGTTTAGAAGCTAATTAAATAAATGGTTGAGAATGATTTCCTCATTCTCAATCTTTTTTATTTTATCAATTAAACCCTCATATATATATATATATATATATATATATATATATATATATATATATATATATATATATATATATATATATATATATATATATATATATATAAACTAGGTTATAACCCGTGGGAACCATGGTTATAAAATAAATTAAAATTTTGTAAGAAAAATCATAATTATGAATCAATTATTATAAATAAATTATTAGTAAAGATATATATTTTTCTAGTTATATAAAATTATAATCGTTATATTAAGTGAATATGTGAAAAATATTCTGAAGATATATATATATATATCATACAATATTTATTTGTGAACTAATGAAAAAACAATAACAATAATATATAATAAAATATTATAAAATAAAAAACCATAGTAAATGAAGTAAATTAAAATTGTTATATAATTAGTTAATTAAGTTGTTCAAATAAACATATATGAAAAAATATAACAAATCACAACTGAAAATTACAATAAAGTTTTATTAGCAATAATAATAAAAGATGTTATATGACATAATATTCTACAAGATATTTACAGATTTTTAAAAACTTCTTTATAAACAACATTAGAAGTTTTATTTATAGGTCTACTATCCTTATCTAAAATTAATAATTTTAATCATTCTCATCTTTGAACTCTAGATAAGGCAAACATACAATTGACCATGTGAAAAAACTGGATCTTTTAGAAACAAACCACCCTTATATAATGATTGTCCTTGGTTCGTATTAATTGGCATTGCAAAACAAACAACTAATGGAAACTGTCTTCTTTAGAATTTTAATGGTATTTTTTTCGGATGGTGTTAAGGTCATTCTTGAAATAAAGGTCCGATTTCCAATATAAGTTCCAGTTATGATAACTGCCTCAATAACACGTTTTCCCAAAGATATCACATGTAGTCTAGTTTGAATTTAGTATGTTTACAGTTTTTGAATTTTCAATTAGTTATTTTAATAAAAAAAAATATTTTGATATATACACTTAAAATCATTATATATATATATATATATATATATGTGTGTGTTTGACTTTTTTTTGGAAATTGATGTGTATAATGAATATAAATATTATAATATTAATATTTCCTAATATAATATGATTTTAAAATGGAAATGATATATCGTTTGAATTTACTATATTTATGTATTTTGAATTTTGAATTTTTAGTTAATCAATTAGTCAGTTTATTTTTGACATTTTTAAATAAGTGAATATTGGTACTGTAGATTAGGTAAATAATTTTTTTAAGGTTGATGTGTATATTGAGTATTGTATAGTTGTTTATATTGTTTTATTTCAAAATTACATTATATATAAGAGTGAATGTTTGAATTACATTACAACTGTGGTGAGAAAATGATGGGTGTTATGCAAGGATTTATAAAATTGAAGGGATTACATAAAGGTGGCGTAATTGTTGTATGTGATTGTTAGCCCTAATAATGATAATAATAATCTTCATATCTAATAAAAGAATAGTTTTATTCTCCTCTTAACATGTGTCATTTTATTAAGTCTCCTAATTAATGCATATTTAATTCTCATTTTGCAATGTCTCGTCATATTATATCTCCTAATTAATACATGATATTTGTAAACCTATTCATTATATATTTCAAATTTCAAATTTTAAGTTTGTCATTCTAATTACATTAAATTAATAACATTAGAATAAAAGTTAAAATAAACTTAATATAAATTATAAAGTGATATAATTTCACATATTTATTTAAATCAATGATTAAAATTTATATAACTAAAAATCTCTTAATTAATAATTTATTTAAAATAATTAATTAATAATTTATTTAAAATAATTAATTAATAATTTTTAGTTTTTTTTTTAAGTTTAATTAAGTTTTTAACTGTGGTTCTCACGGGTTATAAACTAGTAATATAATAAATTAGGTAATAAGGATTACAATTTAAACTTGTGATGACGGTTGAATTTGTGTAAAAGTGAGGAGGCAATTAATAACATTTTATATTTTTAATTAACGAGAAAAAAGCAAAGAGTGACAAGTGACAATTTAATTAACGAGAAGTAGATGGTTTGGCAATGATAATGGCAATGGGTTAAGGGATTGCCAAAGCACCCACATTAGTGCTCTCAATAGATTTGCAAAGTGCCACATAGGTTAAATGAAAAAGACACGTAGTTATAAACTTGTAACTACAATAAGGCGTGCAACCTAATTATACCGGGACCATTCTTTAAAACAAACAAACGTCAACAATTAATCTACTTGTTATATTTTGTTTGATCCACAATTTGAAAAAGACTTCAAATAGCATTGATGTAAGTTTTTAATGCAAACCATGACTTGGCATAATTAAGAGACTATTGATATGGATGATCGTAGAAGAATAACCTTTATCTTATTGATAAGACATGATTCTTTTATATGCTTTTTATGAAGATCTTGGGCAGAGGCAAAAAAGGGCAAGAAAGCAAGTAAAAGTCGTAGAAGATGCTCAAGCCCAATGGGAAAAATAAGGCATCAAGGTAATTGTTCGTAATGAGTCCAAAAGGGTCAATGCTCAAAATTAGTTTTAAATAGAAAAACCATTAGTCAATAGTCTTCTAACTGTTCTCGTTCTTAAATTCAAGGGACATATATGGATTTAGAAGTAAAATATATTTGTTGATTAAAAACTAAAGACAATAATGAAACAAGATGTAAGGGTACAAAACCAGATCGATAAAGTTATTGAAAAGATGCTCCTTTTTAAATCTCTCAACTAAAAGAATGATCAAAGGGTATAAAGCAACCGGGTGGGTGAGGTCAAAGATGGTGTTGTGTGGAAAGTTGGTGGATCGATTCAAGACTTCTTTTACGCAATACAAAGCTTTTTTGTATGAAAATAGCCTTTGAAATCTCCACCACAAAAAAAATTCTGATAAATGTTTTTTTTTTAAATCGTGAATTTTTGAAAAAAAAAATTAGTAACATTCCACATTAACATATTGAACTACATAAAATGGAACAAAACCGTATAATAGAGAAGACATATCTTTTCAAAAGAAATAGTACAAAGGCACCCAATCTCAGCTTAAGTTGAATTTTTACTTTAAGTAATAAAAATAGTTAACAAAATTATGCTAAAAAATTAAATCTCACTTCTTCTTCTCCGCACCTCCACCAGACCTACAATTATTTTATTTTATTTTAAATAATAATAAGAAGAAGAAGAACAAGTTGATAACATCAAATAATTAAAACTAGTACAAATTAAACAGAAATTATAAAAAAGAAAAGAAAAAAATAGAATACCTCATCTTGCGAAGCACACTAGACATCTCCTCTCTCTTCTTCTTTGCTCTCTTGTGGGTACCCAACTTTCTCTTGGCCACCTTAAGGGCACGTTTGTCTTTTCCAACTTTCAACAACTCCGTAATCCTCTTCTCATATGGTGCAAATCCAGCTACTTCACGGATTAAATTCCTCACAAAATGAGACCTTTTGCTTGTTTTCTACACAAAAATATACCATTTTTTTCAATCATACATAATCAAAGACTCAAACTATACTACCAAGATTTGAGAAAATCTCAAAAACGAAAGTTGTACTTACGCCTTTCCTATCAGATGGGCGAGGAGCCAACTCTTTCTTGGTGACAACATGACCTTTGTTCAACCCAACAAACAGCCCTGTGTTTGGCTGTTTTGGAGCCATCACCTACACTGCATCAAATGTGTTAGTTTCACATCGATTAAACAGTTTGGATTTTGTCACATCTTCAAATGCATTGAATCATCATCTTTCTATCAAATCCGCGTTAAGAATTTTTGCTAATAACTCCTATCATGAGGATTCTATCGAATGCATTGATAAAAAAATAAATAAATAACAAAATCCCCTTTTTTAAGTTAGTTCAGCATTGAAACCGACATGATCAATTAGGGTAAGTAATCGTCTATACATCAGAATCTAAGGAAAAACACGGAATATAACACTTCGAATCATCAGTTAATTATCAAAATCAAATCATCAAATGCATCAGATCAGATGAACAGGCGTATGTCAACTCATAATGTGCAAAGTTTAACGGGCGTTAAGAATTCAATATGATCATAAAATAAAATACAGAATCAGTGTAAGATGTAAATTCTATATTGGAGAAGACGCGTACCTCGGCGTATTTCTGAATCGGCGTAATATGAAAGGAGAAACAACGGGAAGAAGATTAGGGTTTTAGGTCAGGACATCATTTTAATTTAAGAAACTGAGAATGGGTTTTACTTTAGGCTTCTGTATGTTAAACTAAGGCCCATCTTCAAGCTACGCCACTATTGGGCCATATATAAGACCCACGGGCACGGCCATGAGTTTGGTAAACCGGATTTTTCTTTCTTTTTGGACCGGTATTGAAACGGTTTCGGTTTGAATGATACGTTGTTAAAGGAACCGGAACTAGAACCGGTAGAACCGCCGGGCCGGTTCGGTTCTTGATTTTGGCCGAAGCCGGTTCCCGGTCCTTCAATAAACATATCAAAGTCAAGTCCCAACTTCTTGAAGCAGCTAAACTTCATACTTATATAGGTAGTTCTTTTGTTAAAAATAAGTTTGGTTCGATTTTTTTATAAAACAGGAAAATAACCGGTTCTCGAATTTTATAAAAACCGGTGGCTCAGTTCTAACCGGTTATGTTTTGAAAACAAAACCGGTTCCGATTCTCAAGAAATCAGTTTGTGTTATGCACCTTTACATTATATATATATATATATATATATATATATATATATATATATATAATAACAACACGTATACTTTGAAAAAGTGTATTTAAAATTAGAGTATAAGACCTTTTTCAGTTAAATTATCAAAAAAGTTAACTAAGTTTGTCTTTTTACAGCATCAAGTAATATATTACATATTGAAACTTACTTGACCATAAAATGCGTAAATATTTTTAGATCCACCATAATGATGAGGTCGACTGTTGTGTAAAACATATTTGGATTCTTGGCTTGACCTACCTAACACATCCAGGGACCCTTTCTTAGAAAATAATAATGAAACTTCCGGCTAAATAATTTTTGAAGCAAGTTTGTAGTTGTAGATAATACTAGTAAACAGATTAACATTGAATGACCGAGCCTCATAGAGAGAGCATATGTGGGTACGTAAACCAAAAAACAAACCACAAGGACGAAGAATGCTACACTATAAGGATATGACATAATTCATAATTGTGGTAATTGGTAAACCATAAGGAGATCAGTTGATATAATTTTACAAAGCAATGTTAGCAAAATAAATTATACTTAGAAAACATTTCCATTCTGGTGATTATAATATGGCTGCAATAAGATTTTTAAAATTGTGTTCGGCGTTAGTTTTTAGCTTATAAATTAAAATTAGGTTATGAATAAAGTTGGTTCAACTTGTTTATCGAAAACTAGTGATTGTGTTGACTGACCTTAATATAATTTTTTAATTTATAAATTCGCTTATTGATAAATCAAATAGTATCAAAAATTTAGTTTACAATCTAACAATAAACTATTTTTTATATACCAAAGATAACCTTAGCTAATTAATAAGTTAGGATAAATTATTTTTATAGTCTCAAAAAATACTAAAATGCAATAAACTTTAAAAAAAATAATAATAATAAATATACAAACCAAGCAAAGACTTGCAAGAAAGATATAGTTTTGGCATAATTTGATACGGGTTTGTAGGTGTCGATAACTGTGACCTCTCAACCTAATAAACCAACAACCCGCAATGAGCATCCTTGTGGATATGGCTATGGTTACTGCAACTTCATCACCTCCTGCTCTTCTTTTCTCCGATACCAAACTCCCCTCCTCTTATGGCTACATGAAACTCACTTCTACTCACGCCACCACCACCACCACCACCACCACCCATCTTTTTAGGGTTTCAACACAACTCCAACTCCATAGACACAGAGGGGTCAAGTGCCAAGCTGCCGGAGACGACGGTTTATTGGAACCTCCAACTCCAAGAGTCTATCAAGGAATTTACGGCCCCTGGTCCGTTGATTCCTCCGATATCCGTGAGGTGACTTATTCACACATTCATTCGTAATACTACCATATGCATATCATCATTTTCATTCATTCAGTTGCTGTTTGGTGTTGGTGTTGGTGTTGGTGTTGCAGGTCATTTCATACAGGTCCGGATTAGTTACAGCTGCAACATCCTTTGTTCTTGCATCATCAACTGCTTTCCTGCCTGATGATTTCTTCGTCACTGATTTCTTGAAGCAAAATATCGATATTCTGTACGCAATCGGAGCTACTGGATTAGGGTTATCACTGGTTTTGATTCATATTTATGTAACTGAGATTAAGAGAACTCTTCAAGCTCTATGGGCTCTTGGTGTTGTCGGATCATTTGCAGCAAAAATATGTCTCGCTCAACCTGCAGATGAAAGTTTGATACGATATGTCATCGACAATCCTTCTGCAGTCTGGTTCGTTGGTCCACTATTTGCAGCCCTAACTGGTCTTGTATTCAAAGAAGGTAATCAATCTTTTTTTTATTAAAAAACGAAAACAAAACAGATTGTTTGAATTCCTATTCGACTGATTAAACAATCAAAAACAGGGCTTTGCTATGGGAAATTGGAAGCTGGTATTCTAACATTCATCATTCCCTCAGTTCTTCTCGGACACCTGGTACGATTCTTCTGAAACCATTTTCATTGATGATTATTACTTCACTTTCGCTCCATTAATCATCGTCTTTCTTTGTTTCTTTTTCTGAATCAGAGTGGGCTAATGGATGATGGTGTTAAGGTCAGTCTCCTTGGCGTTTGGATGGCACTTTTTGTTATATTTGCAGCAAGAAAGTTCACTCAGCCTATTAAGGTAGATTTCATTTCACATTCTGTGTAATTGAAAATTTGAAACTAAAACACACATATTTCTGATTAACCCTTATATGTATTTCCAGGATGACATTGGAGACAAATCTGTGTTTTTGTTCGATGCTCTACCCGAAGAAGAAAAGGCAGCTTTGGTAAAGAAACTTGAGCAACAGAAGCCTTAAGAATCATCATGTACATCCATCCTCACATTCATTACAAATATACTGTAATAATAAACATAACCCTGTAACAAATTTTGAGCTATAGATAGAAGAAGTTCATAAACCAGTAAATATGACACCAAAATAGTAGTAGATGTAGATGATATGATATTAACCAACCAATATATATAAGTTTCATGACTGTTACAAAAATAAGACTACTACCAGTACCAGACTTGAAAATGGCATTAGTTTCCAAAAATTGCCCATATCAATCAATCCACAATCTTGTTAAAATAAAAAAGAATCAGACATCCTAAATGAACCATGCAAGAGACATTATTACCCTCCTATTCATCCTGCTGAGCCACTGCCTTCTTGCTTCTGGTATTGGCTCCTGGACTTGAAGGTGATGGTGAAGCTGCAATTTTTCCACCACCATTCTTCTTCTTCTTTGGAGTAGTCTTGTTGCCTCCCTTTCCTTCTTCATCAACCTTTGGATCTTTTGTTTCAGTCAATTCTGGCTTCACACTTGCAGACTCCTCCTCATGTAGCTTCTTCTTAGGTGTGTTATCAGTAACACCTGCTGCTTTCCTTTTCTTGTTAGCTTTACCTTTAGGAGAAGCTTTTTCAATGGCTTCCTTAGCTTTACCTTTTGGTGAAGCCTTTTCAATGGCTTCCTTGTTATCATTTTCCTTAACAGCTGAATCATCAGATGCAACTTTCCCTACATCACCTGCCTCAATCATCTCATCTTTCACATCAGCCTTTGACTCTTCAACTTTCTCATCAACCTCAATATTCATCATATCCTTTTCTTCCTTATCTTTATCTTCTTCCATAACATCACACTTGTCATTTTCTTCTCCAGAACCTGCACTTTCCTCTGCTTCTTTTGTCTGCCTCTGAAGTGATTCAATAACACTCATCAATTCTCTATTCACCTGTCAAAAACAATAAATGAACATGCTTATTTAGATTCATCACAGATTATAACCACTACTACTTTGTATGGGGAAAAATAATAATACCTGTGGATTCTGGAGGTATTCAGAGATGTCATTAGTGCAAGATGGGCATTTCATGACATTCTTCTGTGCCCTAAGTGTTCGCCTCCCTTCACATGTCCTCTCCTTTATAAAGGTTTGACCAGAAAAAGCATTCTCCAAACATGACTTACAGAAATTATGTGCACATGGAGTTGTAAGAGGAAAATTCATCACGTTGTGACAAATAAGACAGCAAAACTCTGTAGTACAAGATATATACTTAGCTCATCAGATAAACAAAAATGTAGATTTTACTTTCTATAAAAGTAACAAATAGTTAAAAAAATAAAACTGACCTTTCAGGAGTCTTTCACTCACAGACATCATATGTGTTTTACGCCTGACTGTTCTTGGAACTTTGCCAGCCTCCATATCACCAGTGTCAGCATGCTTTCTGCTTCCAGGGGGAGGAATTTTCCATAGCCAAGAAGCTTTTTCCTCCTGCAAATATCAGGGTTTATCAAAATCATTGAATTGTAAAAGGATCATCGCTAAAACAGACATAAGCACAAGATTATCTCACATCATAATCCCAGGAAGGAAGACCCTTCCTATCTGTTATATCTGTTGCTTCCTTGAGTTCCTTGATGACAGGTAAAGGTCTTGGGCGATCACCAATTTCATCACTGCAAATTTATAATCAAATGTAAATAACTTTAATAAAACCCATTTAGAAACTTCATATAAACATTGAAATCATGAGATCAATCACAAACCTTGTCCATGGAGCAGGATCATTGTCACAGCGAACAAAAAGATACCTGCATACCTTGTATCCCTGTCAGAAAGTAAATGTTAAACACCACTTTAGAAAAACAAAGACTATATGTAATATCAAGCAATTGTGTGGTGTTCAAAATCTTACTTGAATTCCAGGTTTCCTCCAGCATTTTTCAATCCTGTATACTCCATCATATCTAACCCCTTTCTCAGGCGCATAAGAAGAACGTTTTTCCTTGTGTGACCTGTCAGGTTAATAAACATTATCGTAAGACACTTATAATATTTATGAATCTACAAAGGATAAAGTAGCTAGATTCATAATCAGATAAGAACATACCTTACAACACGAACAGGGTAGCCCTTTTTGCAGCTAACTCGTAAGGCTTCATTTGATTTATCAAACTTCTGATCAAATGATTGAGTCTTGTTTGTCCTTTTGTTTCCACTCAAGTCTCTTCCACCACTGTCCATAAGAAACAAGGAAGGATAGATTAAAATATATCACCAAACACACAATACTTCTCATGGTGAAATAGAATTATGCAACAAGAAGTCAAAACTTCCAAAAAGATGACACTAGTTTTGGTATCAAAGCCCTTTTACTCCCAACAAAAATCACATCAAGAAACAAAAAAAGCCACACAAAACATTGCATACCTTCCTGTATATAGGAACCACTCTCCATGATCTTCATCATCTTCATATCCTCCAGATAGTGCAACAGATTGTGCACCATATTCAGATTGACCACAAATCCCAGCAACATGAGGAAGATGAGCCCCCCATTGTCTACATTCCATACGATCCTCCCAAGTTTCACCAACAAGAACGCCCATTCCTCTCTCTGGGTCGTTCGCAGCAGTAATGGGTCCAAAATGATCTGGAGGAACTGTCACGAATATCTTTCCACTGCATGCATTAGCCTTCCCTGTCTTCTTTGCCCTCTCAGTGGTGTACGCTTTGTCTGGTTTGTTCTGATTCAGAACAGAAAAGTAGGCTTTAGGTGGTCCTGAAGCAGCATTTGACTTTGTCATCCTCGCCATTCTGATTGCTATAACAAGGGATGAGTTGATTCGAGGCTGACTCGCCATTTTAGGAGGAATCGAAGTTCTACAAACGACACATGTTCGTTTCCCCTGGCCAACCCATTTCTCGAAGCACTTCAAACAAAAGTTGTGGCCACAGGGTGTCTGTAACATGAAAAGAGAAACTTTAAATAGTGCTACTCAATGAAATTAACTTGTTAAGATATTTTCCATAACGAAACCATTGAAACTTCTTTTAGTGGTTTAATCAACAAAGTTTATAAACGATTAAAAGAACAGAGCAATGGATCTAAACCTATGTTAATTACTTTTAAACAAATAGCTCTAAGAAACATTACCGTGACTGGTCGCTCCGGCAGCTGCATGCAAAAGGAGCAGTTAAAGCTACTGCTGAGAATCTTTAGAACATCGGTACCACCGGCGCCGGCGGCCTCTATTTTGTCATCGGCCGGTTTATCGCCATCGTCGGAACCTCCTCCACTCAAGAGTTGCTGGCGTCTTTTGGCCTTCTCTTGGTCGGAGAGTGAGACATCAGACTCAATGGCTCGAATGGCCGCAACAAGCGCACCGGACGGTTCAGATCCCGATGTGACGTTAGAGGGAGGCGGAGAAGTAATGAGATTTGAACAGTCGGGACACTCCCATTGTGCAGCATCGGCTAGGGTTTGGGGACGAGCTGAAAGACAATCAAGATGCCAGGGAGTGACGCAGGTCTTGCAGGTAATCTTCTCTTCTTCCGGTGGGTTGATTTTGCAGATCATGCAGCAGCCATCTCCGTCGCAGGGAAGGTCGCTATCATGCGCCATGGGTGGGGTAGAGGGAGGGAAGGAGGGAGGGAGATTGATCAGGTATATGGGAGTAAAATCAGTAGGTATATGCTTGATGATGATGATGATAATGTCGAAGACGATGATGGAGAATATATTATATTAATACACGGCAACTTTTGGTGCGATGAACAGTGCATTTGAAATTTTTGGAATTGGGGAAATTGAAAATATTGAAAAAGTTTGGATTTGAATTTTCCCTCTTCTTTGCGATTCCAAAAATGGGAAATATTTTATGGCCTCACAAATCTTGGATTGAAACCATTTTTCCACGTTCACAACTTTCTCTGAAAAAATGTCACGTATTTTCAAACTCCATGAACATGACATCATGTATTCATCTTCTCTATTTTAGCTTGATACTTAACCCAATTTAATATTATATTTATATTAAAAAACTAATTTCTCTCTCATCCTACAAAATTATTTGTTTCGTACCATCAATTAATAATTTAATTAGGTGTAAGACCTATATATTATATGGGTTCATTTTAAAGAAAAAAAAAATACAAAATTTTAAACATTTGATAAGTTTGAATTTATTAAAAAAAAATCAAAAAATATTGAATTGTTAAAATTAAATTGTTTGATTTTTTTAATTAAACAAATAATATAGATAAATAAATAAATGAAACTAATAAAATTTTAATTTAGAAAATTTAAAATTAAAAGTAAATCAATTAATGAAATTGATATGCATTTATTATTACATTTATTATAATTATTATATTTAAATATTATATGAAAATTAATAAAATGAAAAAAAAAAAAAAAAAAAAAAAAAAACCACAAAATGACAAATTGAATAAAAATTAATTTAAAGTAACTATAAAATTAATGTGGCAAAATAAATGAGAATGTGACATGTACCAAAAAGATCTTTATTTATTAGAGATGATATCTAATATCTAATTCAAGCCATTTTTATAAAATAAATATAATTTATTATTAAAATTTATTATGTTGGATAATATTTTGGTCAAAATTACACAAGTATTAATCAAACAAATTGAATGAGAGGTCGTGATATTCGAATTGTGTAATAGCAAATGATAAAGAGAGTGAGACAATGGTTTACAAGGAAAGCCCTTGATCTTTGTTAGGATCTCCGGCACAAAATTTTAGGAGGTGATAACGATCACCTACATTGATGATTTTATTAATGTAGAATGATGATTACAAAGAGTATTCTTGTGAGAACAAATAAATAATTTCGTAGAGTAAGCTTCTAGCAAAAAATTGTGTGTTGTGTGCGATATACAAGTATCAATTTATAGTCCAAACTAGCCAACAAGATGTCTGATATTTCCGGGATCCTCTATGACTGGCTTCAAGAATATTATTTGACCAAGTATTTCAGGTCTTTAGCATAGTTGAGATGATTCTTCGTTGAGAATTGGTCTTCCTTTTACTGCTTCTACATTTATATAAAGTATGAATATAATATAATCGTTATGAATGTCACTAAAAATAATAACGATGATTGGCGGGATCATGAGGTAGCTGAGGTTAGGATTAATCAAAAGGCTTTGACGTGGGCCTTTCTGAATTAGCCTGTGTATATGATCTCACAACCTTTGAGAACTCCCAATTCCTCCTCAAGGTCAAAACCCACAGATCTCCTTTAGCCCTGAAAACCAATCATAATGATGGAGATTGGAAAGAAAGATACTTCTTCGTGAGACATGACTCTGTTCCCAATGGGGTGGGGGGGGGGGGGGGGGGCTTCTGTCGGATACCTGGGTAAAAAAGGGTAGGATTCTTTAATATTAATATAAGGATCCTGGAATTCACATCTTCTTATTTTGTTTGCTTTTTTGCAGCTTTCAAATTCGAGGAGCTTGTTCCCGTTGTTGAGGATTCTGAAGAGAAGATTGAGAAATTCCTAGTTTTTTCTGAAGTCGAGAGATCCTTCCGATTTGATCAAGTCATCCTGCATGAAAGCTCTTCCGCCACTTACCTCATGTCGATAGGTGATGATCCTTAGTTTTTCCCTGTTTGTTGTGAATATTTTAATGATCCTCTGTTATGTGTTTGTGTAAGATCCAAAACCACTTGCTCTAGTGCTCGCTTCACTCTTGTTGGTCTTGACATAGCCATGTCGAAGGACTAGCTAGTGGTGAAGAAGGAGAAGAATATGTCTTCTCTTCCTCCTAAAAGGTCAACAATGGACTTGACGGGGAAGACCCCAGGATCCTAGAAAAGAACAATTGTTGAGTCCATAAGTTTATCTTTGGAAAGCCTTGGAGCTGAGGAAACACTTCAGAAGTTGGTCTTTTTCTCCCAAGCCGTAAGTGTTGACCCCATTCTCGTTTTATTGTTCATTTTGTTTTTTGTTGAATCACTGTATCTTTGTCATGGATCTCTGATCATGTTTCCACTAATCTAAGGATCCGGGCGGAGAGGGCCGGACAAGCCCTTCAAGGATAGGATAGGATGTGGAAGGCGACCAATGAGGATCTTATGAGGAAGGTGAAGCTGCTCAACAAGGAGAAGGTTGAGAGAAAAAGATGAGCACGCACACGAGATGGGAGAGGTGATTTTTGATTCGAAGGTCAACGTTGCGGTGGTTGTTTGGGAAGCTAAAATTCGTCTTGCGGAGGATCTCGATAATGCAGGTTCCTAGGATGTGGACGGTTGGCGCGAGGCACTGGACAATATGACTGACAAGCCTACTGCCGCTAATCAGGATCATGTATTACAGCTGACCGGGGGAGGGGAGAAGAAGGGCACGGCCGATGATGACCAGTATAAGGTATAGGCCTGCAAAAAATTAGTTTAAACATTTTTTTTGTTTTCGTCAATGATGTAAAACAATTAACCTTTTAATTGGGTTGATATGCAACCCCTTTTTGAATGACATGGTAGCATTTTCCTTTTATATATTTCTCTTGTTTTTTTCTGCATGGTTGTTACAATATTAGGATCCTTAAATAGTTAGGATCCTAGAAAGCTTGGCTCCTGCGAATAGCCCTGAAACATAATTTATTTAGTAGTTCATTTCTAGCATATTTGACTTTTGGTAATTAAATGATTTTAGCTTAGGACCCTGGAAAATTCAGGATCCTTAAACTTTATCTAAAGTTCTTTGAGAATAAGGGTAGATGGAACCTGATTATCTCCAAGTTTTTTCTTAAGCTTTGCAAGTATTGAAATTTGTTGAGGATAAATCTCAACTTAGGAGAGAACTCTGGTTCACTACTGATAATGAGGTTCTTTACCGATGAAGGTTGATGAGGATCCTTAAGGGCAAGGATCCTTACTAACATAGACCCTTAAGGATGAGGATCTCAGATCGTACATGGGAATTCTCTCATTAGGATAACCTATTTAGGTTATAGACTTTGCCAAAATTCTTGTGTAACATCATGGGTTCAATGGATAACATTTCAATGTTATATATTGGGGAGGATACCGGCTTGCGATATAATTCATGGGAAAGACCCTTACTTATGATATCATGAAAATTTTATGATTCAAGTGTATTATATGGGGCAAATTTCCCACGTGTGATAACATGAAGATGTTATAGATCTTATGCAGTTTTCTGGGGCAAGATCCCAATTTTTGGATAAAATGAGAATATTATAAACCTTAAAGATATCAACTTATGTTCAAAGATAAGAGGGTTGTCAAGCCACTAAATCGTGAAATTGTCCCCTTATCTGTATCCAAGGTTAGATATCATGCGTCTAAGCGAGGTGTATCAACCTTAGTTCGTGTGAAATAGGTAATTAGCTATTTAAACCTTAGAGGGGATTAAGTACCCTTAAGTGTAGGAGAGATGACCAGTCTCTAACTTGTGTATATAATAATTTAAAGATTACATCATTAAATATAATGGGTTTTTATCAAGTATTAAGACATTGAGATCTTAATGTGCTAAGATCATTATGTTAAAAGGGCTGTTGACCACACTGAGCACGACCCGTGTCAGTTTGTTATATTTTGACACGGGCCGTGCTAACCTAGATGAGCATTGTACTTTGGAATTAAAAGTTGAGGATTTTTAGCTATTTCTCACTCAACATGACCTGTGTTTATTTGTTTAATTTTGACACGGGTCGTGTTAGACATATAACCAACTTTTGGCAGTTTTTCCTATGACAGAAATTGGGTCATTTTGACATACAGACATCATATTTGGAAACATTATTCTCTTATTTGTAAGTTGTAATTGCATATCATTTCTATATTTACAACTTGTGATTTTATTCTAGCCATGTGTGGCTAGAACCCTAGTTTCTCCAACTTCATGTTTTGACTATTGGTTGTGATTTCAATCATATGACTTGATGTTTGCTTTTAATTTCCATCTAGTGAATTTGATATTGCTTTAATCGAATGTTTGATTCTAATTGTGATTCTTATTGGCCATTTGAATTAGGGTTAGGTCATTCAAGTTATCCGTTTTGCAAAATTCGTAATTGTTTTGTGAATTAGACTGAGTAACAATCATTAAATTGATTTCCATTGAATGAATTTAGTGTAAATCTTTTTCACACAATCTTACACCCCCGAGATTGTGAGGAGTATTAGATGTTGTTGGGAACATTTGCATAAAGCTTAATGCAATATTTTAATCTAATTATAATAGCTTGTTTATATTAGGTTAGTAAGGTTAGGGTTAATCAAAGAGTTTGTTTTGGTTAATTAATGTGGTGAATGGGAAGTGTTGGAGCTTGTTAACGCTTTCATGTACCGACTTAGATAGAATTGAGCATGTATCCAGTCATCTTTGAATTGCATTGCTAAGTTGTCATATATAGAGTTGGATTCCTTACAATTTCTGAATTTAATTCACTTTTTAGTCGATTACTTGTGTCTTTAATTATTTGTTCTAATCATTGCATTCACCCCCCATTTACTGTTGGTGACCAAAGTACCATGCGTAAAGAGGTATAGACTGATTGTCCCGTGTCTCTGTGAATGAACCATATTTGTCTCGTACTACCTTTTAGTGTAATATAATAGTGTTA